TCTCTAAACAAAACAGAGAAATATCGAGCTTTTTATGGTGGAAAATTACTAGTGAAAACCCTCAAAGGAAACTGTTTTAATTGCTTGCACTATACACAGTTCCATTTTTTCTATATCTAACTACCGTTCATATGAATTATTTATTAATATCAATTAAATCTTTTATTTTTTTACATATACTAAAGTTTAGAAGATCAGATTTACACATTTTCTCATTTTAATATAAGTTTTCTTTTAATTGCACCTTTTCAAATACGTAGAAATTTTTGGTAATTTTTCTTATTGAATTTCAAAAACACATCTCACACATTACAAACAGATTTATAGATTTTTAAAGCTAACATTTCGTTTTGTTGTAGTTTCTTTTCAATTTCCTTCCTGGTATTGCGTTGGCCTTATTAGAACGTCAGAATGGGTCAATTAAATAGCGACTGCAACGGTAAGTTTTTCCGTTTTTTATATATAAGGAATTTCATTTTCTTCATTAAAGGAAAAAAGAAAATCTTTGCAGCTACAGTTTCTATTTAAGTTAGGAACCCTTACGTTTTATACATATGTCACCCTATAAAACATAAGGCAAAAGCACCGTAATTTTTATGCTTGTTGTGTACTCACATGCAATCATTGTTAAAACAATAAAGATGCTTTTTATATATGTTCTGTATGAAACGGATTAAAAACTTGTAAAAATGCATAATTTTTAAGAAAGTCATACATTATCAGCCTAATTTACTAACCTTTAAATCCACTGACTAATTATTTCACTGGTGTAATCTTAATTTAAGTGACTCTTAAAACTTAATTACCGAATATAATTGTGAGACAAAAACAATTTCCCCTGAAAACTGATAATTCAAAATTGGAGGGTATCGCACCTAATAGACAACTCTTAGACCCACTGACAAATTATCTCATATGTATAATCCTAGTTTAAATAACTCTTATAGCTGGGTAATAAAAAATTATTGTGGACAAGAACAGCTTCAATTGAAAAATCATAATTTAGTATTGAGACGTTTAGCACCCGAAAATTAACTTTTAGACCCGCTAACAAATTATTTTACGGTTTTAATCATATAAGAAGAATTGTTGCGTTGTATTTTTTCCTATAATATTAATTTGTTATCAAACACGAAATACACTTACAAAAATTTTATACAATCCATATTTTTTCAATGTAATTTTTCTCTATTTTAAGGCAGGATCATTTCGCCTTCTTCCGTGAGGTCGTAACGGAAACTAGTTGGGACACCCATCCTGAAGGAACAACAACTGGCCGAACTGATGGCTACCACAATAGTAAGTTTTTTTTCGCTTTCTATTCTCAATATTCTTATTGTTTCTATAGTTAATTAAATGTAATAAGAAGTTTACAATACTTCTATAAATGCTAGCTTTAAAAATGTTTACAGAACATTTTGAAACTTTAAAATTAATTGCATTTATTACATTGTCAAACATATAATTTTTTTTCTTATTAATCTTTTATAAAAATATTTTGTTTAAATGATTTCTGTTTCAACAAACTAATTGAATCTATTTTGAACATTGCCTTAACCTTCATTAGCACTAATTTTTCGAAATTGTATTTTATTTCGATTTTATTCCTCTATTATATCTTTTCGTTCTTCTACCTATAATATATAAAATTATACTGGAAAACATAAGTGCCCTTTATCCATTTTGTGCACTTACAGCAAACATATATACAAATGCATCCACATTTTCCAATATAATTTTTCCCTATTTTAAGGTCTTATTGATCCTCGTCCCTCAGAGGGGTGCATTTGTTCAAATAATCACAGGATCGTTTCGTCTTCTTTCCTGGATTCGTAACGGAATGCAGTTAGGACACCCTTCCTAAAGAATCAACAAGGACCTGATCTGGTGGCGACTACAATGGTGGGTTTTTTATTTTTCGCATTTTAGATTTCATTTTGTTATTGCTGCAACGTATAATTAATTAAATGTAATAAGATGTTTGTAGTAATTATACTGCTTGTATGTATGTATGTAGGTACGGTAGCTTTTAAAAAGTTTAGGAAAATTTGTGAAAGTTAAAATTAATTTTATTTAATTGTCAAGCATATATAATTTTATTTTTCTTATTTGTTTAAATAATTTTTCTCAACTAAACATTTAAGTCTATTTCCAATATATTTTTTGCTCTACTTTGAGGTCTTATTAATCTTCGTCTTTTAAAGGGTTGCATTTATTGAAATAAAAGATTGGTTTTGTTGCAGGATCATTTCATCTTCTTTCGTCAGGTCGTAACAGGTACCAATTGGGATAGTCATCTTGAAGGAGCAACGAAGGACGCATCTGATGGCGACCACAATGGTTAGTTTTCATTCTTCACGATTTAATATTCCTTTTATTATTGCTTCTATAATTAATTAAATGTGATAAGATGCTTACTATAACTATACTGTATATGACTTTTAAAAATTTTAGAATACTTTTTGAAAATTTAAATTCACTCTAATTTTTCAATTTTTTAACATATCTTTTCGTTTTCCTCCCTTAAATAGAGGAAAATTATATTGGAAAAATGTGGGTGGGTTTATAGCTAGTTGAATTAGTTTAATACATGATTTTCTTCAAAATTATATGCATTTACTTAATTTAAATGTATGTAATATATGCATCATATAACGATAAAGTGCTTGTAAAGAATGGATAATTTTAAAGATAATNTATTTTAAAATATAAAGTAGAAATAAAAAGAAATTGCTGTTATAAATACTTCAAATATTGTCTTTACTTTTTTATACATTTATGTTTTTGTTACAGCTTGATGTCATCGCCATGGGCAGCTGCTTCACATGGGCTGGACCTCCTTCATCATCCACGAGGACTTCAATCGGGAGTGTCGGTCGGGAGTGCGCTGGTAGGTCCAGGTTCGAACTTGGAAGCCTCCAGTACTCGGAATCTCGGGATTTTCGAGATCCTGAGTCTTGGAATCTTCGAAATTCGAACTTGAAGGCCTCCAAAGCAACGAATCCTACGGGATCGTTTGCTTTGGAAACCTTTAGGTTCGTATTTCGGAGTTTCTGAAACTCAGTATCCCGGAACTTCCGAAATTTCGTGTACTGGGGACTTTTAAGTTCGAACTTGGGCGTCCAGATTCCGGGCCTTGTCCCGGACGGTCTTCGAATTAACAAAATATTCCGCGCTAAACCTGGTAGACGTGAAAAATTCATTTTTGTCTTTATAAATAAAACAACGTATGGGGTTCTATGTTCTTTTATTTATGTTCCCTACCCCCACTCTCTCATTCACGCCCCCATTCACACCCCACATTCACTCCCCCACTCACTCACACATTCACACCCCACATTCACTCCCCCACTCTCTCACACATTCACACCCCACATTCATGCTCCCACACTTACACCCTCACATTCACTATCATTCATACCTCCTCATTCATAACGAGAGATAATGAGAATGCAGAGGGAGAAAGGACGATCGTTCACCCCCATGCATTCTTATTATCTCCCGTTGCCTCTCTCTCACATGCTCACATCCTCTCATTTCATTCACACCACCACCCTTCTTACATTCTCACACTGTCTCTCACGTTCACATCCCTCACAAATAATGGAAAAGAACCAAAATGCATAAGAGTAAACAAAAGTTTCCAGTTACCCTTATGCGTCTTCATTCTCTCCCATTACCTCTCTCTCTCTCGTACACCCCCATCTATTCTCTCATTTCATTCTCACTACGACAGTTCTTACACCCTCACATAATCTCTCACGTCCACCTCCTTCACAAGTAATGGAAAAGAACGAGAATGCATAAGGGTGAACAAAAGCTTCTAATTACCCTCAAGCATATTCATTCTCTCCCATTACCCCTCTCTTTCTCTCACACCCATACATCCTCTCGTTTCATTCTCACCACTGCTCTCTTACATTCTCACCCTGACATTCATTTTCATTCCAAACTTCCAAACAATCTTTTACCCCATGTATCCTTCTTCTTCCCCATAAGCACTCCCACTCTCTCTCACGTACACATCCACATCAATTCCCTCATTCCATTCTCACTACATCACCCATCTATCTCGCTTCCGTTCTCTCCCCACAATAAATCCCTCATTACCCCTTGTTCATTATTACATTAATTTTTGTAACAACAAATTGTAAGTTATAAGTATTATACATTGTATACTAATTGTAAATATGAGAATAAATACTATTATCCTAATATAAGTAATTTAAATGAATATTCCTACCTCCTATTAATAAATAACAAAAAAAGTAATTTACCCTTAAGATATTCACTTACAATACTTTTTAAATCAATATAGCCCTATAGACATGGGTTACAAACATATAATTTCAAAGTATTAATTAAACTATAACTTAAATATTCATGAATAAGATAAAATTCATATATATTT